TAGATAGGGGAACACTGAGACAGGTTTGCATGGCCTAGTGGGACAGAGATAAATAGTGATGCATACTCAACCTTGGAACAACAGGGCTCTGGGATACAGATTAATATTCAATCATTTCAGTACATTGTATATGATCAACATCTGGTCCAAGATGCACTGAAGAAAACAGTAAAAATCAGTGATCCAGAACCTGATGGAATACCAATTTAAATGTTTCCTCATTCTATGCCAAGAAATTTGGAAGACAACTACCTGGTCAATTGAGTGGAAGAGATCTATATTTGTGTCCATTCCAAAGAAAGGTGAAATAACAAAATGTGGAAATCATCAAATAATATTATTAATTTCACATGCAAATAAAATTTTGCTAAAGATAATTCAAAATAGGTTGCAACAGTACAGTGACAGAGGGACATCGGAAATTCAAAGCCAGTTCAGAAGAGGTCATGGAATCAGGGATATAATTACTAACATCAGGTGAGTCTTGACTAAAAGAGAATATCAGAAAGATCTTACTTGTGTTCTCTTGACTGTGCAACATTATTTAACTATATGAGTCATAACAAACTATGAATAACATTTCAAAGAATTAAATTTCCAGAACTGTACTAATGCAGGACTTGTACATTAACTAAGATGCAGTTATTCAGAGAGAATAAGAGAGTACTGAGAGATATAAAATCAGGAAAGGCATATGTTTGTGTTGTATCTTTTCATCATAATTATTTCATCTTTATAATGAGCAAGTAAACTGAGAAGCTGGACTAGATAATGAAGAACGTGGCATCAAGATTGGAAGAAAGATAATTAACAACTTGTAATATGTATATAACACAATCATAATTACTGAATGTGAAGGGAACTTGAAGCCCTTACTGATGAAGTTAAAAACTACAGCCTTCAGTATGAATTACAAATCCATATAAAGAAAACAAAAATTCCCACAACTGAGCCAATAAGCAACATAAATTAAGAAACAATGGAAACTGTCAAGAATTTCACTTCACTTAGATCCACAATCAATGTTCATGGAAGCAGCAATCAAATCAAACGATGTATCACATTTGGCAGGTTGGCAGCAAAAAATTTCTCTATAAAGTGTTAAGCAGCAAAGATATCACTTTGAGGACTAAAGTGTGCCTGACCCAAGTCATGGCATTTTCAGTTGCCTCATATGCATGTTAAAAGTGGGCAATAATTTAGGAGAACCAGAGAAGAATTCATGGGTTAGAATTATGATGTTGGTGAGGAATACTAAAAATATCGAGAACTGAAAAAAGAGCAAACAAGCCTGTCACGAAAGACGTATAACTCCTTAGAGAAGAGGATGGTGAGACTATATCACACATACTTTGGACATGTTATCAGGAGGGACCAGTTCCTGGAAAGGTACATCATGTTTCGTGAAACTGAGAGTCAGCAAAAAATAGATGTCTCCAATGAGATGAATTGCTCAAACCATTGTCATGATGGCACATAATCTGGTAGCATTTCATTTTCTTGTACATGAAGTCCCTATGAGTCAGAAATGAATTGATGCACCAAACAAAAACAACAAATAATGTAGGTTAAAATAAAATCTTTAAGATTAATGCTTCATTTATTTTATTAAAAATTCATGTGAAACAAATACACAAATATTTCAGTCAGAATGGTGAAATAATAAGTGTTTTCAACAAATAGTCATATATTACTATTTTCTGAATTTAGAGACCATCTCAAGTATAACAACGCTCCCTCGGCATGTACCACATACCAAATTGCCATCTGTGGATGTTTAAAGCTAATGGCCCTGCTCAGAATACTCACAAGGATTGCTCCTTTTTTGGATTCCTTTCCCAGTGCTTCGGCTTATCCTTGTCTGCCTTAGACTGGTAACCAATTCAGATTCTTCTTTTTGGTATTTGGACTTAATGATGTTCATACTCCTAGTACCAGCATCAGCTACAACTTTCTATAGTATTTATGGATAGTACTAGATTACCCAACAAACAGGTAAGCACATGCTTACTTGTTCTTAGTTACTAATCTTTAGTGAAACTTTTTACATTTTTTCACATCAACAACTCTGTTTCCAGATATGGCTGGCAACTATCTCTCTCTCAACCCACAAGATCTTCCTACATAATCAAAGCCTCTTTTCAAAGATACAGTCTCTGACAAAGATGGAGTACCAAATAAGCAAGGCAAACATACTTACTGGGTAATCAGCCCCTGACTATGAATTTTTAAAAATCCCCAATAGTGTACCTGACAATCTGCAGGTCATACCCACCAGCCTCTCTTGGAAACTTTTTCAGAGGAATAGAATTCAGAAGGAGGGGGGAAAGTGATGAATAGGGCTGCTAACCTCAAGGTCAGCAGTTCGAAACTACCAGTTGTTCCTCAAGAGAAATATGAGGCTTTCTGCTCCCATAAAGATTTACAGCCTCAGAAACCCTATGCAGGGTCACTATGAGTCAGAACCAACTCCACGACACACCCCCACCACCACCATCACCCTGTTCAGTGAACTCCTGGTGTGGCTCTGCAGGATCAGCACTGGACTACAAACCACAAGGTCAGCCATACAAACTCATCATCTGCTCATTGGAAAGTCTGTACAGCATTGCTTTGAGTCAGAACAGACTCAATGGCACTTAACAACAATAACAACACCCTATTTAGTGAGTGCCAACAAGGGGAGTCCTGGTGTGATGCTGTGGGTTAATGCACCAGACTGCAAAGCCATTTGAACTGCAAGGTCAGCGGTTCAAGCTAACCAATCGTTCCTCAGGAACCCTATACAGGGTCGCTATGGGTTGGAACCTACTCAATGGCACTTAACAACAACAAGAATAAGCATTGGACTGCTAAACACAGTTCAGCAGTTCATACCCACCAGCCTCTCTTGGAAACCCTATGAATTGGAACCTAAGGGACAGCACACAACAACAGCAGTATCCAGATGGGTCATTCTGAGACCTTTCTTGAATTTTTTCAAATCCTAACTTAAGTAGCTAAAGAAATTAACTACAACTGGCATTCCTTGTTACTGTTTTATCATGCAAATGGAATGTCAAGTGTGTAAGAATAGAACCATAGAGTTTTCAATGACTGACAGTTTGAAAGAAGATTGTCAGGCCATTCTTCCAAGGTGCCTCTGTTTGTATTCAAATTGCAAACTTTTGGTTAATCCAAGAAATCATTAACCATTGCACTAGCCAGTAACATGGGATCACCAAGAGTTGGAACCAGTTCAAAGGCAACTGACTGTTTAGTTAGTTTATCATGCAAATACAAAGAACCCTATCTTACATCTGGGTCCTAAACTTTATAACCATCAACCCTTCCTGAAATGTAGTTGGACCCTTAAGGTTGGTAAACCCATGATTCAATTTTATCTTCAGCCCTCTTAAAGGCATTGGGTTAATCTCTATAAATTGCAGCCATTATTGGCAGACATGAAATTACCCTTCATTTCCAATCTCTAGGACACCTACCAGGGTTTGTGCTACCGCATCCCAAAGCAAGGATGGAATGGCCTAAAATTTTGCAAGTTCTTCATCTTCTCTGCTACAGCACTGCTGGAGATTCATATCCTTATTTGTATTCCCATACTCTTCACTAGCATAGGCAAATCCTCCTGAGAATGAATAGACGCCTACTTCCGTGACAATAATTACTTCAGTTGCTTCATCAGTGTTTTTCACTAAGGGTATCTTGTAAGAAAGTTCCAAAAACAAACAGTCCCATGGTCATAACTTTAGCCCTTGGAACACTGCTCCCACAATACAGCTCATTTGGGAGAGTTAGTCTTAGATGTTGGTGGTGATATACCATATCCAGTTGAAACTTTAGGATTCAGTGTATATCTTAATAGATTTCATCTAAGATAATTAGAGTTCAAAGTCAGGCAGATCTTAAACTGAATCCTGACCATAGATGTATTCTGTTTGGTCTTTGAAATTTCTAAATGACTTTTTAATGGAAATGGCTTTAAGCAGATCATTGTTGTATGCCTTGGAATATATTCTGGCCTATGGTGACTCTGCAGAACAGAGTAGAACAGTCTCATCATTGGGTTTCTTAGGCTGAAATCTTTAAGGAAGCAGATTGTCAGGTCTTTTTCTCTCACAGAGTACTTGGTGGGTTCAAACTACCTAGCTTAAACTTAATAGGAGAGTGTTCAATCACTGTACCACCAAGGCACTTGGATGCACAATAAACTCTTACATTTACCAGAGATTCTTCCTTTCTCTGTCTTCATCTAACCCTTCTGTCATATGCATTTCTTAAAGTAAAAAGATGTTAATTTGTATCAAGTCACCACACTGAAAATAGGAAACAAATAAAAGGTGCAATTCTGTGGGTGTGTTGTAGTGGATATCTAATTTTCAATTATGTCTAGCAAAACACGGTTGACTTGGGGATCTTGAATCTAGTCTCTAATTATATGTAAAACCAGTAACTACAAAACAATGTGGTTTTTTTTTTGTTGTTGTTGTTCTCTCAATTGAAGACCTAACCTTGAGGAAGAAAATGATTAGGACAGCCAACTGACAATTCATGGCATGCTGTGAAAGTCAGAGAGTCTCTAAAGAAATATTTAAGGAAACTTTTATCTCCTTCAGACCTATAGATCTGTAGTTGCAAAAACCAGGCTTAGGATTTAACTGAAAGTGCTGCAGATCGCAGAGAAGAAGAGAAGACTGAATGCTCAGTATTTATAGTTTTCTCTGATAATGACAGAACACTGAGAAAGACTAGGAATAGAAGAATGGGGAAATGGTAAGCTACTGACTTCTGGAATGTTTATATTTGAATGAATAAAACTGCAGAGGAAGAGATACCAAACCTGAGAATTGTTGTTGTTGTTAAGTGTCATCAAGTCATTTCCAAGCCATAACAACCCTGTACAGGGTTTCCGAGGCTGTAAATCTTTACAGTAGCAGAAAGCCTCATATTTCTCCCACGGAAATGCTGGTAGTTTCAAACTGTCGGCTGTGAGGTTAGCAGCCCAACTCGTAACCACTAAGCTACCAGATGCCTTCCCTTTACAAGAGTTGCCCTCTTCATCATCATTGCAATCAAGCTAACAAACTTCCAGTTCTTCACAAAGCTTGAACAGGAAAATATTATTGATGCTTAGGGAAGAAATAGAGTGCTGGCGTGGTGCTGTAGGATAAGCTCTAGACCACCAGGTCGATTTGAACCATACAGTAGACAGTTCAAACTCACCAGCCACTCCTTGGAAACAGTACACAGGTTGCTATGAGACTGAACTAACTTGACAGCACTTAACAACAACAAGAAGGGAGAGAATGATTTATCCACCACTGAAAGCACTGCATTACCTACAGAATTATGCTAACTAGAATCAGGTTAACATGTGGGGTGAGATTTGAAGGTGTTAGACCCAAGGCAGCAGAGAAAGCACATAGCAATATGAGTATGAATGAGAATTTATTGATGTGACGTCACTCATCTATCAATTTGGACCAACACTATCAAAATTGATACTTGAAAACTGTTAATAAACTTACAGAATGGTTGTTTAAAGCTTGGACATGATGAAAGTGGATGTGGGAGAACAAGTGGGCATAATATACAGGAACGTGTTTGATTTCAGGAAAATGTATAGATTAGCATGTGTTATTTTTGTAATGTAAGATCAAAGAACTCAACACATGACTATTTTCTCTCAAACGAATGGAGAATACATATGTAGAGAGGCTCCAGTATTTTTTCAATTATTCAGTAGTTGCTACCTGGACAATTGATTGGAAAAGATCTATATTTGTGCCTATTCCAAAAAGAGGTGATCCATTGGAATGAGGAAATCATTAAACAATACCATTAATGTCACATGGAAATAAAATTTTGCTGAAGATGATTCGAAAACATTTGTAACTGCACATTGACAGAGAACTGCCAGAAATTCAAGCCATATTCTGAAGAGGACATGGAACTAGGAATATCTTTGGTGACACCAGATGGATTTTGAATGAAAACAAAGAATCCTGCATATGGTTTCCAAAGAACAGCTGGTGGGTTTGAACTACTGACCTTGTGGTTTGCAGTCCAGTGCCACACCAGGAGTTTGCCTATGCTTTATTGACAATGCAAAGACTTTCGATTATGTAGAACCCACCACCATTCTGTGGGATAAAGATGAGGCTTTCTGCTCCCAGAAAGATATAGTGGGAGTGCAGTGATGTGCTGTCAATTCAGTTCTGACTCAAAACGACATTGTATAGGGTTGCTGAGCCTGTAAATCTATACAAATTTACAGCCTCAGACACCCAGTAAAGGTTTGCTCTGAGTTGGAATTGATTCAACAATACTGAATAACAAAAAAATATGTGGATTTAAGGAACCCTAGTGTTGTAGTGGTTAAGCAGTCAATTGCTAATTGAAAACTTGGCGGATCAAATGCATCAGCTACTCTGTAGCATAAAGATGTGGTAGTCTTCTTCCACAAGGATTTACAGCCTTGGAAACACCTTAGTGCAGTTCTACTCTGTCCTTTAGAGTCACTATGGATATAAATCAGCTATTTGAACCGCTGACCTTACAGTTCAAACGACTTTGCATTCCAATAGATTAACCCACTGTACTGTGCCGGGACCCCATGGCAATGAGTTAATACCACTGTTTAAACTCTTGAAAACCTATCTAGGCACTTTATGGACAATTATCCAATTCTACAAAAGCACTAATTTTTAAATGGTGTATCACTACTCTGAGATAATTAACATTTATATTTGAACCTGCTTCTGAATTAAGACCTTCCTAATAGCCTTGCGAATCTGCTTAGTCTTCACACTGTAGATAATAGGATTGAGCACAGGAGGTATTAGCAGGAAAACATTGGCCATGATAGTGTGGACAAATGGAGGTGCTGAATGACCATAGCGATGGACAAGAGACAAACTGATGAGGGGAATGTAGAAGATGGCAACAGCACTGATGTGGGATATGCAGGTGTTGAAGGCTTTCTTCTGCTCCTCTGAGGAAGCAATGCTGAGAACAGATCGGATGATCAAGACATAGGAGAGCAGGATGCAAGGGCAGTCAAATCCTGTTGTGGAGAAGAGTGCAAATAAACCAAGAATACTGTTGATTCTGTTATCCGTACATGAGAGTTGAATGACATTAACATGGTAGCAGTAAGAATGAGAAAGAACCGTAGACCTGCAGAAGGATAATCTCTTGACAAAGAGCACAACTGGTAACATGACAGCAACATTCCTTATCAGCATGCTCATCCCGATCTGGGCAATCCTAGCATTGGTGAGGATGGTAGTGTACCGCAGTGGGTCACAAATGGCCACAAAACGATCAAAGGCCATGGCTAACAGAACTCCAGACTCCATAAAAGTAAATCCATGAAGAAAGAACATCTGTGCAATGCAGGCATTTAAATTGATCTCCCGGGCTTCTAACCAGAAGACACCAAGAGTAGTGGAAAGTGTGCACAAGGACAAGCCCAAGTCCGTGGCTGAAAGCATAGAGAGGAAATAATACATGGGTTCATGAAGACTCGGCTCACGGAGGACCACAAACAGGATCATGCTGTTCCCAGAGAGGGCGATGATATACAGGAGGCAAAAAGGGATGAAGATCCAGACCTGGGCAGCTTTCAGGTCTGGAATACCCGTCAGGAAGAAGGTCAGAGGCTGAGCATTGGAATTATTGAGGGCCAACATAGTGAGGGACTGAGAAGACAGAGATATTTGAATAATTGTACACAGCAAATAATAAATGTATATAGCTTATCACTTGCAACATCTTTCTGGATCTCCATTAATATTGTGGAGAATTACTATTAATTCTCCAAGAACTTGAATATGTTCTTAGTTTCCTAGAGTTGAATAAGTCTTTCTAAGCCTCTCAGTGTTTCTCATTTGTTCATAGGGCATTCACTGGAATCATTCACATCAAATTTTCTTAGGTATAGTAAGTAAATAATTTTCTTTGGGACAACAAACCCAATTACATTATTCCTTCCTATAAAAATTCTTGGTAGACTATATAAATAGTAATGACAAATCCTGTTTCTATTGCTTTTTGAAAATAGTTGATTCTGGAATAAAGCACTAAATAAACAGTCACATTTGAAATGAGACAAATTAGATATGTGTAAGTGGGATAAAGCACTGGACTTCAAGTTCATTTTGAACCACAAGATGTGTGGTTCAAACTCACCAGTTGCTTCTTAGAAAACCTTTACAGATTGTTATGAGTCGGAACCAACACAAGAGCACTTAACAACAACAACAACAAGAAATAGATAACATGATATATCCGAATACCCCTGAGACAGCAGTGTGCTCACAGGACATTTAGCAATTATACACACACACACACACACACACATACGTATAATAATTTTATTCATATAATAAATCTATGAAATAGGCTGTTATAAGAAATTTTCAAATGACAAAACTAAGACTTTGAATAATAATCGCTCAAAGTTATCTTTGTTGTTGTTGGTAAGTGCCACCAAGTTGGTTCTAGACTCATAGCGATCCTGTAGAAGGTTTCCAAAGAACAGATGGTGAGTTTGAACTTCCAACATTCGGTTAGCATTCCAGTGCTTATCCTACAGCCCTAATGTTGTCTTTACAAAGCACTGATTCTCAAAATCACTCCCATAAAGATTTACAGCCTTGGAAACTCTGTTCAGGGTTGCTATGGGTCAGAATCGACTCAATGGCACTTAACAACAACAATAAAGATACAGATAATAATACTTGCGAACAATGCTTTAGTATCTACTATGAACCAGACTCATGCGTGTTACATCCATAATGTTATCCCATCATCATAATATTTAATGAAGTAAATAAAATTGTTATTCCTGACTTAGATATGGAAACACTGATGCTAAAATTTTTCAGGCAAATTGCCCATGTTATGTAGTCAAGAAACAGAGGAACTGAGGTTGGATACCTGCATATCTGACCCTAAAGTCTTTATTCAATAAGTATGGGTAATGCAGAAGAAGCACCTTCAGACCAGTGTGCTTTCCTGAAAAGTATTTTTGAGCTGTATGAGGATAAGTCAAAAATTATTACTAATAGGGTTCCAGTTCATGCATACATGGGTTTATTCCAAACAATATGTGTTTAAACATATCTATGCAATAGATGTGGATGGCTGTAGACAAGTTATCTCAGTAATGCACTTGTATTAATTTCTTTAGGGTTTCTTTCAAAAACAGTCCAATGAAAACAGTGGCTCCAGAGAGGATCTACTAGACCAGATAAATTTAAGCCAGGGAGGTCAACTCAGGTTATAATGGCTGTCTGTTTGCTTTTAAAATTTCAGAAAAATAACCTTGATAAAATTTCCCAAAGTATACAGAACAATCATGAAGGCTTATAATGAAGAAGTTTTAAGAAAACTTCCTTGGTGAAAAAGAGGCCAGAAAAGTTGCATCAAAGAATTATTTTCCCCCATTAAAATGACACGCCTGTTCATTTTTCCAGGGTAGCAAGGGCTGGCCTAAGAGAATTTCTTTAGGAAAACTTACCCCATCCAACCTACAGTTTTGAGCTTGCCCATCCACACTTCTTTTGGCTCCCAGAACATTTCAAAAGAACATGATCTGAGTCCCTCGAGGATGAGTCCTGGTGTGACGCTGTATGATAAGCACTGGACTGCAAAGTTGGTTTGAACTGCAAGGTTGGCAAAGCAAACTCACCATTTGCTTCTCAGAAACCCTATAGAGGGTCATTATGACTTGGAAATGACTCAGTGACACCTACCAACACAACAAGGATGCCAAAAGTGCCTTTATTATGTGATGCAAATCAAAGAATGCAGAATTCCTTGGAGAAGGATTTGAGAGATGGAAGCCCTGCCTTCAGAAGTGTATAAACCTAGGTGGAATATTTGTGGAAAAACAGTAGGTCCACAGTTTTAGATTTTTGTTTAATAAAGGTTTTGATTATTTTATAGAATACTTATTGACTTTCTAATATGCATTCACAGAGATACTACGGTAGTGATATTGTGCAGATGTTATGCAATTTAGGCTTTTCTGAACGTGAACATTGACAATGATGGTCCTTGTGGACAAAGGGCCCAGGGACTTGGTACACAGGCTGCACCCACTCTGGAAAACACTACCATAAGAGAACTGTAAAATCCAGGTAAGCATCTTAGTGAGCATCTCATTTATCCAACTTTTACATATGATACTGATGCTACTTCCCTTATGGGATTTTTCTCTGCCAATGTATTTCTAGGAGTCCTGGTGTGGCACTGTAGGATAAGCACTGTACTGTAAAGTAGGTTTGAACTACAAGGTTCGTGGTTCAAATCCACGAGCCACTCCTCAGAAACCCTATACAGAGTCGCTGTGTGTCAGAACCAACTCTCTGCAGCACTTAACAACTAAAATCTCAGCTACTTTACACTCACTGCTCAATTTTTACCTCCCTAAGAAACCTCTGGTAGCGTAGTGGTTACGAATCGGGCTGCGAACCTTAAGGTCAGCGGTTCGAAACTACCAGCCACTCCGCAGGAGAAAGATGAGGCTTTCTACTCCCATAAAGATTTACACCCTCGGAAACCCTGCACAGGGTCGCTATGGGTCGGAACCGACTCGACGGCACTTAACAACAACAACAAGAAACCTAAGTTTCCAACTTTAAATTTAGTATTTCTCATGTTTTTTTTCAAAATGTTGTATTCTGACCAAGAAGGAATTTTCTAAATTTAAGAAAGCTGCCAATGGAATTAAAAGGAGGCTGGTGGTACAGTGCTTAAGCAGTTGGCTGACAACCAAAAGTTTGATAGCTTGAACCTACCAGTGCTCCTCAGGAGAAAGATGCAGCTGTCTGCTCCTGTAAATATTTACAGCCTTTGAAACCCCACATGGCAGTTCTATTCTATCCTATTTACTCCCTATGAATTAGAATCTACTCCAAGACAATGAGTTTACTCCATGAGTTTGCTTTGGGCAAGCTATTAATTTAATTTCATTGGCTTTATCAGTGGAATTATATTAATAGCTTAAAGAATAGCACAATATGGGTTTTCTCAAAAGAAGGGGAAAAAGCATGCAGAAAATCCAAGCACAATTCATGACAGAATTCTTAAAATTTAGAAAGAAAATAAAGTGCAGTGGCATTTGTTATGGGCTTGATTGCTAACTGAAAGGTAAGTGTTTCAAACCTCAGTTGGATAAAAGAGCTGGTAATATGTTCCTGCAAAGATTGCAGCCTAGAAAACCTATGGGACAATTCTACTCTATCATCTAGAGTAGCCCTGAGTCAGAATCAACTCAACAGCACACAAAAAACATGTGAAAAGTACTTTTCAGATATCCAGAGCAAACATTTTAGTGATGATATACCCAAAACACTATATAAGACAATATTCCACTACTATTCATAAGGTCGCTATGAGTGGGTACAGACTCGATGGCACCTAACAACAACAATAGAAGGAGTGAAGGACTTTAGCAAGGTGATTATTTGAACCTGTCTCTATCAAGAAGAAGGGCATCCTACTTGGTAAAATGGAGGGTCAACAAAAAAGAGGAAGAATCCCAATGAGATGGATCAATAAAGTGACTACAACAATTGGACTCAAACAGAACAGTTGTGAGGATGGTGCATGACTGGACAGAATTTTCTTCTGTTGTGTGGAGGGTTGCTATAGTTAAGAACCAACTCGATAGCATTTAACAAAAACTACCAAAAAGATAAGAAAATGCCTCCCACAAACTTTTGTCAATCTCAATATTTTAGCAGTGACTCCAGTGTCAAAATATCTGGGTTTTTATCTTTACTATTCCCAATAACTAAGCATGAGGGGAATTTTAAAAAGTTCATGGAAATTTTTCATTATCTTTTAATTCCATTTTTTTCACAAACTTTTTGAAGCCCTTTCATGCTATTATCTATGCACAGCATTCACTATATATGTTTTTTTTTTTCCTTTTAAAACTTATCAATAAAATTGGTGGATTAGATCAGAATTTATATGTTACAGCTGTACATAAGAATCATTCAGAAAGCTTTAAAAGTGTATGATGTTAAGGTCTCAACTCAGACAAAATAATCCAAATCTCTGAAAATGGGGCCCAAAGCATTTGCTTTAAATGTGTTTGTGTGTCTATTTGTTGATGTACTATAATTCGACAACGAGGGAATCGTGAACAAGAAGTGGCAACACCGAATAGAATTCTGTTTCTATGAGTTTGATCATGGACTTCATGATTGAAATTAAGATGCTTTAGACTAGTAAAGCAGAGTAATACAGGTGAGGGTAGAAATCCTCAGTCCTTGCCTCTATACTACCTAGAGATTGGGCCTGGGTAACCTAGACTATGATATTTCACCTGTCAACTTCAGATTTAAAATATATTCCTAATCTGTCTTTTTCCATTTATTTATGTGATGGTCAAAAAGAAAGATGGATTTGAAGTGCTTCTTCCTAAATATAAATTTTAATACTAAGATAGCTAAAATATGCTAAGACTATGAAACTTCTGTAAACAAATAGTGCTGCTGCTAAGTTCAAGGATTAAAAAGTTTATTTCCTAAAAACAACAAAAATTACTGTTTAGTTCATTCCAGCTCATAATGATCTCACGTGTGTCAGAGTAAAACTATGCTTCATGGGATTTTCAAGGGCTAACATTTTCTGAAGTAGATCCCCAAACATTTCTTCTATGGTGCCTCTGAGTGGATTCAATTCTCCAACCTTTGGTTAGTAGCCAAGAGTGTTAGCTGTTTGCAACACCCAGGAACATAGAAACTAATCAAATTTTAAAGTTGAAAAAAGAAGCGATAAAATATATAATTAATGACAAACTAGTAGTATACAGAATCACAACAATTTACTTCATTTTCTTGACGTCATCAGTTTTGATGAGAGAAAAATTTGCTTATAAATTTCTGACTAATTTCTAACTTAATTCCTACAGCCTTCAGCTTGAACCAATTACTTGAAATCCTTCTTTCCCAAATCTAACTCTTCCACCTCTAATTTCGGGCACACTGTTCTCTCTATGCCCATTTCTCCCTCTCTGCTCTCCCTTTGCTCTCCAGTTTAGATCTCCCTAGTCCCTGTATGTAGGGCTGTGTTGCCTGGTTTTATTGTCTTACCTGGCTCCTAACAGAGAGAGATCTGCCCTGTCCTCTCACTGCCCAGACAATTGTGCATCTGGTTCTTGGAACCTAGTTCTCTATAAGAAGCCAAGTGTGTAACCTAGGGACTCTGGGGACTTGAACAAAATAGAATCAGAAAAGAATCATGGCCCTTGTCATGAGGACATGAATTTCCCAGGAGGATCCCACACTGGGCAGAAGCAGGTCTAAATATTCTAAATGATATGCATATACTTTCCTTTTAATTATTGTAGTGATAACTTTTATAACTTGTCTTACAGCAGCACACCAGGACTCCATTTATATCTCTCTAACATATGTTATATATATATATATATATATATATGATAACATGCTGCTTACAACTTCTAGGCAATAGAGCAGACCTCTGGTTCAAGTCAAAAGAATCAGACAGAAGTCAGATGATAAACCATATGCAGAATCCAGACTCAGGGGAAAGCAAAAAAGCTTTGCCCAAGTGTCTAATATATTGGAAATACGCCATGCCCTGAGGAACCTTCCTTTCAATTGAATGACTGCTCACAGCAGATCTCATTATGGAGTTGGTTGTTGTTGTCATTGTTAGTTGCCATCAAGCAGAACATACTCATAGCAACTTTATGCACAGTAGAATGAAACACTGCCTGATCCTGGGCCAACCTCACTACTGTTGCCATGCTTGAGTCCATCAATGCTGCACTTGGCCAATCCAGCTCGTTAGGGGTCTTCCTCTTTTTCTCTGATCCTACACCTTACCAAACATGATATCCTTCTCTAGTGACTGGTCCCTCCTGACAATATTGTCCAAAGTATGAGAGGTGAAGTTTGGCCATCTTGGCCTCAAAGGAGCCCTCTGGCTATACTTCTTCCAAAACGGATCTGTTGGTTCTTTGGCAGCCCATGGCACTTTCAATATTCTCCTCCAACACCGTAACTCAAAATCATCAATTCTTCTCTGGTCTTCCTTATTCACTGTCCAGCTTTCACATGCATATGAGATCATTGAAAATACCATGGTTTGGGTCAGGTGCACCTTAGTCTTCAAACTGACATCTTTGCTCTTCAACACTTTAAAAAGTTCTTGTGCAGCAGATTTGCCTAATGCAATACGTCATTTGATTTCATGACTGCTGCTTCCATGAGTGTTGATAGTTGATCCAAGAAGAATGATGTCCTTGACAATTTCAATATTTTCTCCGTTGAAAAGAATATTGTTTTTTGGTCGTGTGTGTGTGTGTGTATATATATATAAAGTTCAGTGTTAATTGTGTTTGTTTGCTTGTCTAATGACTGATGCCTTCTATGTCCTGCCTAAATGTAGTAGATTCCTGGATATGTCAAGTAAAAAAGCTACAAATAGGTTGCTTTGAAAAAAAAAAATATATTGTGTGGTAAGTATAGAGATTAAAAGTCCAAATTCAGATTGTGGCCAGGCCTATGCTGGCACTGACCTGCTACAAGGTCCTGGCTATATCTGTGGATGAATAGCTGAGATACTGTCAGGATAAAGTTCAACAAAAGAAGGAATATACAAAGGTAAATATAGTGAAGTTTTCCAAGAGTCATATTTCAATATCCTCTACCTTTCATTCCATCAAAATTTCATTTCCAAAGATGATTCTCTGTTCCACTCTTACAACTCTACCAAAAGGAAACCTTAAATGGATTTGACTACCAGTTCATGCTAACCAGTCTTAACTGGGGTCTTGATACTGCCCAGAAATATGTGAGTATTCTAATGGAGACTGCAGTTCAGAGCAAGATTGTGAGATGGGTGCCTGAATCTCAGTGTATCTTGAAGAGGTTGTGTCAGCTTTGTAAAGATGCAAATGAGGAGGGGTCTGTAGTTGGGTCAGTCAGGAATAGACTGACACATTAGTCAAACCAAACTGTTGCCATCGAGTTCATTCTGAATCATGGCACCCCCATGTGTTAAAAAGTAGAACTGCACCACAGGCTTTCTTTGTGTAATGTTTACAGAAACGGATGAGTCAAATTTCTTTTGTGGCATCACTGGATGGGCTCATCATTCTGGCTACTAAGAAGCATTCTGACTGTGCTCCTTCCCAGACTGATTTGTTCATTCTTATGGCAGTCAATAGCAGTGGTGGGGATTGTGTTCCACTCAATCAGACACGTAGTGATCCTGTATATGGTTTCTGAGGCTATAAATCTTCTGAAACGATAAATCTTCACATGAGCAAAAAGAAAGTCTCATCTTTATCCTGTAGAGTAACTGGTAGATTAGAATTACTGACCTTGTGGTTAGCAGTCTAACTAACAATACACTACGATACTAGGACTCTCACTCTCTCTCTCTCTAAATATATATATATATACATACTAGTCTGTATAAACACATAAAATCTCACTCTAGCATATATATAGCTGGATATACACCTTCACAAAGCTTGCCTATTCAGTGACCTTGCACTCACAAATATATTCTAAAAGGTTTAATATATAATATGTATTATCTATATAATTGTTGATTTTGTATGCCATGGAGTCAGTTTCAACCCATAGCAACCCTGTATAGGGTATCTGAGGAGTGGCTGATGAGCTTGAACTATGGATCTTGTGGTTCAAATCTACTCTGCAGTCCAGCACATTAACCCACAGCACCACACTAGGACTCCACATGTAATATATTGCATATAATAAAAATATTACAGTAAATATATATATAATTACCTTAATGAAAATTGTAGAAGTCTCTGGGTGGTGCAAATGGTTCAGTTTCCAAGTGAAAGGTAGGTTCAAGTCCACCCAAAGACACTGTGTAAGAAAGGCCTGATTGATAAACTATTTTCAAAACTCAGCCAGTTCTACTCTGACACACAAGGAGTTGTCATGAGTGGAGTTGACTTAACAGTTAAAAATAAAACACTCAAATGATTATTGCATATATGTTGCTGTTAAGTGTTGTCAAGTCAGTTTCAACACATAACGACCCTATATAGGGTTTCCAAGGAGCAGCTGGTAGGTTTGAACAGCCAACCTAATGGTTCAAACTGACCTTGCAGTCCAGCGCATTATCCTCCAGCTTATGTATACATACACAAATTCATAAAAATCCAGTCCATTATACAACACATATTAACATAGCTCTCAGATATCTACATCAACACTCAGGGCACATTATCACAGTTTCATATTGCACAAAATATGCATTCAATTGTAAATACTCACAGTCTAATAAAACAATGCATGTATTTAGATAAACTCACATTAATGTAATGCCAAATATAGACCTTCACTCACATGAATTCAAATCCCTTGCCTTTGCTCTGGCAGCATAGTGGTTACAAATCGGGCTGCTAACCTCAGGGTCAGCAGTTCGAAACTACAAGCTATTCCACAGGAGAAAGATGAGGCTTTCTGCTCCCATCAAGATTTACAGCCTCGGAAACCCTGTACAGGGTCGCAGTGAGTCATAACTAACTCCATGGCACATAACCAGTAACAACCATACTGCAATGTGTAATTAGAAGAAAGAGGAAAGCAAGGGGTTAATGTTTCCAGCTTTATTCTCCAGTGTCTGAGGAAGCCTATGTAAATGTGAGGAAGAGAACTAATATTGAGGGGAGGGAAAGTCCAGAAAAAGTTTTTTTTAGTAGGACCTGAGCCTGAGTTTCTGCCCAAGAGGGAATCCCAAGAGTCTTTCAGAACTGCTTAAGATCTGAGATCGCATAATGCTCAGTGGTGAGTAATTTCTTGTATCCCAGACATCTTTGCGATTCCCTGA